CTGTGCTATGAAATTAACCCTTCTTTTTGTTTGTTTGAATCCAGGTTTGTTTTTTGGTCTTATAGTGCTACTGCATGTACAGTAATGTCAACGAAACTGGAGTGGACAGTACCCTGTAGTAGGGATAAAGAGGGGAAGTAGCTTCTCTTGCCTGTCCTTGTATGAAGACCCTGTTATGTCAGGCCAGTGCCTACAGAATGGAGAGTCCCTGACTGAAACAGGCTTATCCTGCTGCACTCAAAATGTGCTTGACAAGAGTGCTTACCTTAGTAGTCTGGGGACAGTCAAGTGCAGTTGGCAGCTCTGATAGTTGAGGCTTTCTGGATGCCCACACAATTGAGGGACACTTGATGATGGGCTGCCAGACAGAATTTGGCCACAGCAGGGGGCTGCTGGCCGCAGGTTTGTGGAAACACTTCATTCATTTTAAACTTTTAAGGAAAGCCTTTTTCTTGAGCACTTTCCCGCTTAGATTGCTTGGTGCTAATTTTGAGATGCCTTTATGCACCCACTCGTGCTGTGTCTGAACTGAAAATAAGATGTTTTCCTCTTCTGTTCCTTGTTAACATAATGTGTGGTAGTCTTCACTTATGCCTGGAGATCAGGCAGTTGCCAGTTACTCTTTTGCCTGTATCAGTAGCAGTCCCTAAACATAAAGTCCCTGGGAAAATGGCTACTCCATTTCTATCACCTAACCCTGCAGAATCCATTCAGCCTTAATTAAAAAGTAATACTTTATAATTCTGCTTTTTATTATTTTTTTCCTTAGCATGGGAAGCATGTTTTCTAGGCCTTTATGAGATCCATACATAGAGTTCTTTTTTTCTTCTTACAGCCTTGCATTCGGTCCCCAGGTACCATGTTGATGTTATCTACAGCACTTTGAAATAGGGAGATTAGCTGGCTAGTCCCATATTTTTTTCTCAATTATATTCATGAATTAGCAACTGGAGGAAGGGATTCTTTTCTTAAACTTGAGATACCTTTCAGTTGATGGATGGGCACTCTGCTCGCAGTACCATTATTGGCTCTTAGTTTCTTTGTTATTCTTTTCCTTCCTTCCCCTCCCATCCCTCATCTGTCCTCCCTTTTGTGACAAAAAATTATAAATATTTCAAAGGAAATATTTTGTCACGTAAACATAGTGACTCAGAAATGCTGAGTACTGAATTGTTGATGCTGCCTTTACTTGTATTCCTTTGCTTGCTTACAGAACGAAAACTGAAAAGAGAAAGCAGGCTGGTAATTTCTGCCATTTCCTTTATGATTTAATTTTTCCTTTCTGTTTCTGAGGACTTAACGTGACATCCAGTGGAGAGAGCAGATTTGTAGATCTGAGAGGAGATGTCTGCATGCTGTTTTGGAAAAGGGGATGGGTTGATACTATGGTCTGCTGAAAACTGTTCTAATGCTCCATTTCACAGTTTAATCCCTCAGATATACCCTATTTAGTGGTTTGGATTTCTTTCTTTGCGACCGTATTTTCCATTAATATTTATTTATATTACTGTTGTAAGTATCTGTCAAATTTTAGGCTTTTGGGAAAACACCGAAAACTAAAGTGTCTCATCTTCCAATACTAAAACAGCAGTACTTACCACTTGAATGCATCTGAATCCTGGAAAAACTGCCTTGCTTGGTTGAAATGTAATACAGTTATGCTTGGTGTTTTTATTCAAAGTGTTTAAATCATTTTTCAGACAGGTCATGTAATTTTTCCCTTGCTCTGTTTTCTCTTTGCCTGCTAAGCAAGCAGGTGAATATTCCCCTTCAGTAAAAAGAAATCATCTGAAATACGGAGTGCTGATCTGAACAACTTGATGTAAATTTGTAAACACTTGCAGTTTCACTAAGCTATGCTTTCTCTTCTTATGATGAAAATAGAGCTAGATTATTTTTATTCAGTGTAAGTTTCTGCTCTCAAGAAGTACATCTGAGCAAATGTGCTTCTCTGCTATATATTTTGAAAAGATACTGGGAATTTGAATGGATTGAACAGGTTTTATTCTGCAATTAAAATTATTAGGCACAATAATAACTGTGTTTTTCATGTGTTGAAAATCTGTGACAAAAATTCCCGTGTGAAGTCAGTTGAGGTCTGTATGTAGATTATTTAATTAATGGAGGGATATAATCAGTGCCCTTAATCAAGGCATGCTTTTGAGGAAATGTAGTAGGTTCACTTACATATAATATCAGTATATCTTATTTGGGAATTAATGGTAATGAGTGACTACTTCCTCTGTGTTTTGTTAATTGGACAGTTACTGGTAAACCACCACCAGTAGAAATACTGAGACAGGAGCAGAAGTACTGTCCCATTTAATGATTAAACTTGTAAGTGTTGTGAACTTTGGCTTAGGCTTTGTACTGAAAACTTAGCTTTAGACTATGAAATCCTTATTCATAATAGCTTGGGAATTGCCCAAAGGTCTAAGTATGCTTGTTGCTATTATGCCCTGTTTTGTGCTGTCTTTCAAAGACATTGGAATAGATGGGCAGGTAGTTAATAACACATTTCTGTACAATTTGAACATGGCTATAAAGGGAAATATTTTTTCCACATGGCTTTAAAGTCCGATTGAAGAAAATGCTAGTGTTTCTGAAGGACAGTTGTTTATCCTTTAATTTGTAGAGAATCTGGCATCCATTAGTATGCTGTCAAGTATGTACTTCAGGCACAGTTACTCAGTACCATGCTTATAACATGCCCCTGCAGAGATCTTGGGTATCAATCAACAGAACATGCAGTATTCCAAATTCTAGACGTGCATAGAATGCGCTCTGAATGGACTGCTTCTGCTTTTTAATTCTGGATGAGCCTTTCAGTTAATAATGTGTAAGCTGAATGCAAGAAAGTTACTTGTTTATGTAATTGGCACAGTTATGGTAAATTTGTTATAAAAATCAAGTTAGAATCTTGACTTGCCTAAGTGCTAGCTACTGTCTCGACTTGTAACTTCTGCTGAAGTTGGTGGGAGCCAACTTGCAGTCTGCTTTGCAGGGTGAGACCATTCATTTCTTCTGACCCAGGTCTTAATCAAATCTCACTTTCGAGTCAGTGATAATAAACTAAAACAAATCTAGTGTGAAGGACCTCTTATGAAGCCTGATAACCTGATACAGCAGTTCTTGAAGCTATTCATGACATTAAGCTAGACTTAAACCATCCCATATTTTGACCTTAAAGTTTCCACTGCTCAGCTATAGAATCACAGTCACAGAGTGGCTTAGGTTGGATGGGACCTCACAGGTCACCAAGGGACCTCAAAGTACGTTTGCTACATTGAGTTCCAAACACAAAATCTTTAACTTAATAATTTTCCTTCCTATTGCTGATTTTACCTAGAAGAAATGTGTATGGGTGGTGGGTTTTGCTTTTCAATAGAAGCTATTCCTTTAAATATAAGCTATTACCTACAGCTGTAACCATTTGGGTTCCTGTCCCATAAAAGTCCCTTTGTTAAAGTGTGTGCCAAAGTCCTTTGCTGAATCAGCTGCTAAATTATACTGCAGATGCGATTATTATTTCTTGAACTCCAGATAATGTAAGCAGAATAATGATACAGGTTTAGTGAAGAAATGAATAGGAACTTTGTCCTTACGTGCAAACTTCCTTGTTGATAAGGAGATTTTATTTTAATTCCAATCCTCCCACCCCCCCGGATGTAAGTTACTTAGCTTCTTATTCTAAAGAAGTGCCTGCCTTTCCAAATTCCCTTTTTTTTTTAAGACAGCTTTTGTAATCTGTGATCTGAAAGTGAATTTCAGATCTTTTGGCTTGACTTACGTTCAGTATGAAGCTGGTCTACTACTTGCAGTATTTTCTGGGAGGCTACAATTTGCTGTTTGGCCCACATGTAAACTGAGGCAGCATTGTTTAAGTTTCTGTCCTTTCGTCAGGTGCTGATTCCATATCCATCACTGAAATATCTTAACCTGTTTTGTCTGTGCTGTATGGTACTGCAATTTACCCTAGTCCTAGAGACCTGTGTGTTCAGAGAGGTGGTCTAGTGCTACTTATTGCTTTAGTCGAGCTTCCTCTGCCTATTATGTGAAAAATATGATGGTGGGCCAGAAGTGCTAATCTTGTTTCTCCTTCAGTGTATTTATATAGCACATTGGAGTGATAATGAAGAGCTTATATGAAATTTGAGTGTTGTATGGGAATGCATTCTGAATTAACAACTTAGAAATGTGTTTCTGTTAATTGTTTTACATGTTAATTGTTTTACAGTGTACTTAAGTGATAGCAATTTTTCTGTAGTATGGGGAAAAAAAACCACAAATGTTTGCCTTCTTGGGAGGGAAGTAGGGTTTACATGAGGATATAAAAAGAGATTTATAAAAGGATGGGGAGAAAAAAGTGGTTGTCTTGGTCTGGAGCATATCATTTATGCATCATAAATCTGATACAGGATACAATACATGTTTTGTTGATTGTGTGTGTGATATAATGATAATTATCTGAAATGAGAGAGCTAGGAGGAATTTAGAAGAAATGGAAGGTAACAAGTCTTTTCTGAAGTTAGCAGGCAACATTATGGCTTAATTCAAATTCTTCCATACATGCAAAAAATAAAATAAAATACAAACACACACACACACGAAGGAACCAAAAATGTTCTGCAAGCAATGATAAAAATAATCAATTATTTACTGGTTTTGTAATGTTAAAATATTTCACCAAGGCAAGTTGCAGTCAAAAGTAATGTGAGTTATTTTGAAAATGGAAATACATAAAGATGCATTTATACAAGTGCAAGACTAGATATTTTACATAACTGTATTTCAATTAGAAGATATACAGTAAGTGCACACTTGATAACACTAAGCAGGCAAAACTTAACGTTAGTTTCATATACTGTTGCAAAGTTCATGCACAGATCTCTCCCATAGGAAAAGGGCCGTTCCAAATAATTCTTGCTGGGATGAAAAACAGGATGGGTTGCTGGTAAGGGTGTCAGCATGGATGAGGGTCAGTTATAGACATTACTTACTGTAATTTGTGATTGCCGTGGGAGAGGAGTGGCTGTTGGTGTGATAGTAATACTGCTGGTGATTTTATTGGTGGGTTTACTGGGTATTCCATTAGCTAGTGCTGGAGTTCTGTTATCTTGCACTGGGGTACAGGGGCTGACGGTCTTGGTACCGGTGAGAGCTTGGACGTAAGGACTTCCTAAGTGGATGTGGATTTTGTTATCCTCAGTAGTTATTACACTTGATCCCGTGCTGTTAGATCTCTGAAACTGCCATGACGACTGCCTGTCTGGGGATACTCTGAAAACAGCATGCTTGGCTCCCATTTCCAAAGGCTCTGAGGAGAGCATTTGTTCCTGAGAACTTGAGCCTGGTAAAGCCAATGGGGACATTGTTCTTTCAGGCGTTAAGGAACCACATGAGTCAGGAGTCTGAGATCTTGCAAAAGCAGCCATAGTAATGGGAGAAATGGCTTGCTCTGGGCTCATGTAACCTTCTGATGCTTTTGACTTCACAGGCGCGAAGGAGGCATTTTGAATAATAGTTATTCTTTGCTTGGGAGTGCCACAGTTAGGTATAACTGCTGTGCTCGTATAGGAGTGAGGACTTTCTGTAGTAGGACTTGTTATTTCGAGCGTTGCTGTGTTCTGCCCATGGTCTGGAGTTACTTTTATGTGCAGAGGTTGGCCAGGTGTATGGCTTAGCACTAAGTCTCCAGTCTGTGCACAGTTTCCATTTTGCTTTGTATGAATCTTTCCATTCTGGTGGTGGTCTTTGGACTTCATCCAAGGGATCCATAATTTCTTATGCATGGCATTCCCGATGGATGAGTTGCTTTTGAAAGCCACTGATTGTTCCTCCTCATTGCTGTCCTTGTCCTCATAATCACTGTCTTCATACAGCTGCCCATTTATGACTGCTCTCTCTAAAGGCATGAGGGTTTTGTAATCGGGTGGTTCGTTGTCAGCTGGATCTGTCTGGACTTCTTTAGAAAAAACCTGCAAGTCAGATATCCGCCTTCCATTAGCACCAGGTCTGAGGCTCTTACTGAAACGTCTGTACCTCTCTAATTCTTTTGTGAGGCTTTCCATTTCTCTTGCTAACTCCCTGTTCTTGTTTTCTTGTTGGGTGAGTTTCTTCTGTAAGACTGTATGATCACCTCGGAGGTGACAGATTAGGTCTTCTGTTGCCATGTATTCATGAATTTTCTCTTTCAGTGCATCTACTTCTCTGGAAAGGTGACTTGATTTAGCTTCTTCTTCTTTGAGCTTCTTAAAAAGACGCTGCTCTTGATTGGACTCTGCCTTTTCTGATAGTTTATACCTAGCTACTTCCATTTTCACAGCCTCCAGTTCCTCTGACAGGAGCTTGGCTTTGTCCCGTTCATTGACATATCTTCGTTCTAAAGACTCAAATTCATCTTCAGTTTTCATAAGATCGTCTTCTATGGCCTTCATTTCTTTCAGCTTCTGCTTAAGCCCCTCGACTTCTTGAGAAAGCTCTTTGATTTTGTTGTTCTCCTGCTGCAAGGAAGTGCTGGATTTAGTAGTCTCTTTAAGCTTATTTTTAAGAAATTCTTTTTCAACAGCTTCCAGTGACTGAAGTCTTTTTCTTAGAATGTTTACTTTGGAAGCAAGATCGTTTCCTTTCTCCTCTTCTGCTTTGAGTTTGTTTTTCAGCTCATCTCTTTCTTTTGTGACACTAGACACTTTTTCCTCTGCATCAGATTTTGATTTCAGTGCCTTTTTACTTTCCTCAATTAGTTTTTCTGTAATGGACATCACTTTATTTTTTTCCACCTGGAGCTGAGAAGTTGCAGCTTCCAGTTTTTCTTCTGTTTGCTTTATTTTTTCACTCATAGCTTTTCTTTCATCCACAAGCATCACTGTTAGAGTCTTCAGCTTTGTTAAATCTTCTTTGAGTGTGGACTCGGTTTTTTCTAACTTGCTTTCAATTGCTTCGAGCTCTCCAACCCTAGCTTTTAAGCCTTCCAGCTCAAGGGACAACTGCTTTGTAACCATTTTTTCCCTTTCTAGGTTGCATTTCAGGGAGTAGCATTCCTGTTTGCTTTTGTTGAAAGCATCCTCTAATTTCTCCAGCTCCATAATTCTTTTGTTGAGTTTGTCAACTTCCCCTTTAAGGTTCTTGCTCTGTGATGCTTCTTTTTCTAACTTTTTATTAAGTTCTCTGCACTGATCTTCCATTTTTATGAGCTCTTCATCTTTTCCTTCCATCTCCAGCAGTCGTTTCCTTAATTCCTCCACTTCAGACATAAGAGTGGAGTTCCCATATTCTCCCTTATTTATCTTATCCCTTAGGTCTTGCAGTTCATCTTCTGCTTTTCTTAAAGATTTATTGGTCTCTTCCAGCTCATCAATTTGCCTGCTGAGTGCATTCAGTTTTAACCGGAGCTGACGATTCTGGCTGTCTTCATTGGTTAGTTTGGCCATCATTGCTTCTTGATCTTGGGAAACCTTACTGTTTTGGACTTGAAGTTCAGCCTCCAGCCTGCTGGCTTTCTGTTCTTGCTCTTGGGCTTTTGCTTCAGCAAAAGCGAGTTTCTCATGTGCTTGGTCTGCAGAAGTAGTTAACTCTTGAATTTTTTGACTTTGTTGATTCAACTGCTCAGTGAGTCTTTGTTGTTCATCCACAACCATTAAAGCAAAGGATTTCAGTTTAGTCAATTCTTCTTTCAGTTTAGCTATTTTCTTGTTGTTTTCCTTCTCTTTTTTTTCTTGATATGCTGTTTCTTGTTCAAGAAGCTTTTTCAGTCTAGGGAGAGGAAATAATATAATATTTTGAAGCCATTTCAATGGGCATTTAAAAACACACTTGAAACATTATGACATCTGCCAGATGTGCATGAACATTCATTTGTAACTAGAAGCAGAGCTCTCCTTGTAGTGTCATAAGGAAGACCCTAGTCTTAGCTTTTCTACTCAGAATTCTTTTATAGTGGACACTTCAATAATTATCATTTACACTTAAAAACTTCTTTAGTTGTGCATCTTTAATTACATTTTTAGCTTTTGACAGGAATCAGCACAATGCAGCTGTTTGTTCTGCTCTGAAACAATGCTGATTTTGCTGTCTGCTGAGACTAGGTGTGTACATGCAGGTTATTTTGAAAATGCAGTAATCACAGTGGTTGAGAAATTAAATCAGTGCAGCCCTCAAGGGCAGGTATACTTCACAGCTTTATAAACCTCCTAATACCTTTAAGCGACTTGTAAACCATCCTGATCTTTTATTATGTTTATCATTAAACCTTTAATGTTGAAGTGTTAAAGTACGTGAAGGAAATGTACCCACACTGGGCTATTAGATGCGCTGACTAATGCCACTTTCTGAACAGTGCATCAAAGCAAAAAACCAAACAATGTCTCTGAGTCTGTCCTCTGTGGAAATACAGACCCTATTACATTATATCACCAAAAATCTTCTGTCGAGATAAATGGGAATGTAGGTTGTGAACATAAGAAGGCCAAATTTTCTTGCTCCCTGCTGGATTCGGGTTTGGTCTTATATTAAAAATTTGAAGATGAAGTGCATCTCTACTTTCTATGACTCTTGAAATTTTTCACAATGGTTCTCCCAAATCATTGCTTACAAATTTGTATTAATGCTGTCTTAACCAAGATGCAACAGACTTAAATTGTTCAAGGCCTGCGATTAGGTTGCACATTTGTTCATTTAAAATTCCAAGAAACCTCCAAAAATCTCAGATAATAATTAGGTTCTTTTGTAGATTTTTTTTCTTTGTCAGGGAGGTACTTGTACAGTGCATATGAGACAGGATTAGGTTCGGCAGCACCTCCTTTCAATTAGATTTTTCCCATCGCTGATCTATACGTTTAGTATGTTCTGATATTCAATAAAGTACTTAACAGCCTAGATTGAACTAATGAAGCTTTAGAATTTTATCATGCTTCACTGCTGTTCATATGATATATATTGAATTGCATGGAGTGGCAAGGAGGAGAAGGAAGTGCCTTTCAAGAGTGTTCTTCCACAGCTTAAGCACTTATTAGCTGAAACCCCTTGCTTTTTTTCTTTCCTTTTTATTCTTTTTTTTTTTTTTTTTTTTTTTGTTTTTCCTCTTTCTGATGATGGTAAGGATATATGATAAGGACTCTCCAGAGTAAGTACTGATGCATAAGGTTCCTGTTCTGCATTTGTGCCTGGTCAGTGTTGTGATGTCCAAGCAGGAAGTCTTTACACCTTTCCACTTACAAGCTTCTGTTGCAGCTAGCCTTTTAGTTCAGGAAGAACTTAGGTAATGGCATCCTTAGCACAGCTCTTTATTAGCTGTTGACTGACTGGAGGTATGTATTTCTGGGCCTGCCTCAGCAACATCCTCTTTGGTAGCATGGTAGCTTTTGTGCATGTAAAGAGGAAGCCCCTGCCATTCTGCAGCTGTCCGTCAGACTTGTGTGGTTTAATCACAGAATCATAGAATTGCTCAGGTTGGAAAAGACCTTCAAGATCATCAAGTCCAACCACAACATAGCCGTACTACCCTAACTCTACCAACCGGCCACTAAATCATGTCCCTGAGCACCACCACACATGTTTTTAAACACATCCAGGGATGGTAACTCAACCACCTCCCTGGGGAGCCTATTCCAGTGCTTATCAATCCTTTCTGTAAAGAAGTGTTTCCTGATGGCCAACCTAAACATTCTCTGGTGCAACTTGAGGCCATTTCCCCTCGTCATCTCACCAGTGAGAGGAGACCAGCCCTGCTCTTGCTGAAATCACCTTTCAGGTATTGAAAGAGAGCAATAAGGTCTTCCCTCAGCATCCTTTTCCCCAGACTGAACAGCCCCAGTTCCTTCAGTTGCTCCTCATATGACATGCTCTCCAAGCCCTTCACAAGCCTTGTTGCCCCTCTTTGGACCTGCTCCAGGATGAGGATACTCAATAGAAATCTATGACTATCAAATCTATTAACACCTTTACCACCGCCCCTACAGTCTTTATTTTAGTGCAGCAGTTTCACTACATTCAGTGTAATGAAATACAGTGTAGTGAAAAATTGGTGGAATGCGAAAAAACAGTAAACTGAGTTGATTTCGAAGTTGTCAAGCAGCCCCAAATTCTTTACAACAGTAGATTAGCGTAATATAGGGAAAGCTGACATGAAAAGGTGTAAGGGGAGAGGGAGTGGTTTGTGAAGTGAGCTCGGAAGAATGTTGCTGGCTGACAGAACAAGAGGTCTACACCATCTTCAAAGGCGGCTTTTTACTGTGTTGTCAGTGTATAAACTTGGGTCATCTTTTTAATGTTAGCGAGTCTGATTTCCTTTTAGAAAAAAATCACCCTCCCCTCCCCACCCTTGTCTCTGAATGCTTTAGTAGTGAAGTTCAATTGATGATTTACTGTTGCCATAGATATAAAAACCATAACAGAAGCACAACTAACGATTTCATTTGGAATAGACTCATTTTTTTTGTGTGTGCGTGAAGTTAGGACAGATTAATATGGATAAAATAAATTTGAGCTATTAGCCTGTGTTTTATTTTAGCTCGCTTTGTTGTAATTCATTTTCATAAGGCAAACTTAGCTAATGTGATTAATACCTAAATTAATTGAGATTTTACTCAACGCTTCTTTATTAACTAGTTGATATCTCTCTGGCCAAACAAAACTGTAATGCCACAGTGACTGATGCCCCTTAAATTGCTTTAGAAGGAAGACTCTTGGGCTAAATAATAACCCAACAATTCTGATTTTCATAGGAATGCTGTGCAATATTTTATGGTGCAACTAAGAGAATTGTTCATAAATAAATTGGTAAAGTCAGTTGGCAGATCTTTGAGTGAATAATCCCACAAGTCCTTCCAGTGAGCATTACGTACATGTACAGTTTGTATTATTTTCCCATTTTCCTTTTTTGTCATGTAACTTCATTTCCCAAGCTTTGATTCAGCAGTATGCTTGAGGTTCCAGCCCGAAGTGAGTGCTTATCTGAGAGAGTCTAACCCAAACTGTGATCAGTAATCATGTATTCCCATGGTTATTCGAACAGAAGTGCTTAAACGATTGGTAACTCAACTGGATTGTTGTATAAGCTGATAAGAATTTTCAAGAGATTTTGTTTCCTTGGTCATTCCAAAACACTCCAGGGTACGTGGAAATGTTTCTTTGATTGAAAACAAAGTACAATTTTAAAATTCAAGCAGACATATAAAGAAAATACTTCTAACCCCTTAAATCTATAACATGACTTCAATGAAGTCAAATTATGGAGCATAGTTAGAAGCTGTTAAATGATTTTAATGTTTTTCTAAATAGAAGAAAAGGGGTGTAATATTATTACTTTAATACATGTAATCAAATATGTTTTTGCACTAGCTTTTGGTGACTGTGGGACTGCAAAATGGAAACTGAATACTTGGTGGACTTTCTGCATTGCCAATGTTAAGTCTGGCTTCTCTTGTCTTCTCTTATAAAGTCTGGCCACATAAGTAGCGGAAAAGTAAAAGTGAAGATGTCACTTTGGGCCTGCTGTGTTTTTAGCCATACCATAAGGTTTAAAGCTACCAGGTCTATTTGAAGGACCCAAGTATGTTGGATTTGAAGGAGCTATTTGACCAAAAGCTCTAGCATGCGAAGGTCAGAAAAAGGTGGCTTTAAAAAGAAAAAAAGTAGAAATAAAATGAATAGATGCCCCCATCCCATAAAATATTTTTAGCATTTTCATTTCCAGTTGAATTTTGCGATCAAGTAATTTTGTTTTAGACAAAGGCAGGTATCTCATTTAGACAAAGCATTCATAGATAATTCCAAGGAGTTGACTTCATAGGACTACGAGAACCCTTTCTGAATCCAGGCCAGCAAAAACAGGCATTGGAAACTGCTTTTATGAACATGAATGGTAGGTAGTTAAAAAGAGTCAGGGCAGTGTCTTATTACTCTTTCTATGCGGCTTCTGTTATAAATTATTGTTTTATTGTCTTACTGTCCTACCTGTTTGCAATACCAGTCTTTTTAGCTTAAAGAAATACATTGTCTTTGTAAGCTCTCTGTTCATTGTAATTGCTTTTCTCAGTATTCATCCTATAGCTTCTTGTCCTTGATATCATGGATTTAATTGCGTTGTCTTGGGCTGTATGACATTACACTTAGCAGCACAACTTTTTAGCTTGCCTAGAATTAATCATTACTCTTAGGATTATAATAATAATTTTTAAATGCTTTTTAAAAATTTTTTAAGCAGTCACAGGGTGAATTCTTTAAGGGTGCTAGTGCAGCAGGTGTTGGCTTTTAAAGCTGGACTTCTGTCATCTCTTTCGCCAAACTACAGAGGAGATCTTAGCATATCTGTGGTGAGTATCAAGATTTTTATTTGATTCAGCAGAAATGGCAGAGATTTTGAATGTCATTGGTGATTTTTGGTAAGTTTTCAATACACCTATTTTTATTGAGCTCATGTGTTATTTCCTCGCTTAAACACGTGGCTTACCAGAGGTTCTGCAGGTTATAACATGAAGGAAACTTGCTTCTAAGGTTTTTGGGCATGTACTTGAATTTCCTCCTGTACAATGCAAATAAAAATGCTAAGCTGAAAGCTTTTAAATGTAGATGAAGTCATGCCTCTTCGTCTGAGGCATTCTTCCCAGTTAGCAATAAGCCACGGTCTGGCTTTTAATAAGAGAAGAAATGTGCTTCATCATTTCTGGTAAATCATACAAGTCGGTGTAATTTTTGACACCAATACAGTTAAGTATTTATTTTCGGCAGAAAGCCAGTCTGTCTGTGCCTTCCGC